TCCTAAGTGCGGTTCTCAAATTCATGCCCGTTTGCTTCGCATTTGGACATTGCACACCACATTCAGATACCTCGGTCGTCAATCGGTTCCAAGTATGTAAAACTGGCGGTTTCCACCCAGTAACCGGGAGCATACAAGGTGTGATTTAGCAGAGAGCAAGGACCAGATAAGTGGGAAAATTTTCCACATAGGTCCTTGAAACTTAAGAGCACGATATGCTTCATGGTAGCCCACAATAGCGAAGGGTTTTTCTTTTGGAACCTTAATCGGTTTTTATCTTACGAATCTAACCTGCGCAGTGGTGGGGTGTAAGCCCAAAGCAGAGACGTGACCGAGAAACTCATGTGGGGGCTTCTAGGGCCCTGTATGCAAGATCTTCGGATTATGGTTCAGTATTTTATTTGCTGGCGTTTTCGATCGGCTCTTGGCCTCATGCTCCCAATAAGACAGGCGGAAGATGAAAGGCTGGTACCGGACCAGTTGTTCAGTGACGTACATAGACTTCTGTCACCTTAGCAAGGAAGCCAATTTACTCCGTACCCACTTTCATTCAAAGAAGTTGTTGACCGGTAAACTGCTTCTTTCTGTGTTTATTTGCTGGAGTGACCACTCCAGGGGTGAAAATGGGCTATTAAAGTAAGTCAAAAGTGCCCAGCCTTGTGAGACTAAGCTTTATGCGGCTTCTAGCCATTGCCCTTTCGAGTCCAGTTGGATTTTCGGTTCAGAAGCCATCTTGTATATGCTGCGGGGTCATGGAGATGCACAAGTCACCACAGTAAGTCAATGTGCACTCTCTTAGTTATGGGATTGATCATTTGGAAGGGGGTGGGGTACACGTGACAAAAATTGTGAACTGGTTATAGAATTCTGCCTTTGCAGTCGGCGGTGTTGAGGCGTGTACGAGTGCAGCCGTGTGATATACCGGGTTGCCTGTGAAGCTTGAAACAGCGATTTTAGGGGAGATGGATTTCTAGGCAATCAGCGCACTGTTAGCACGATGGCTGTCGGCAAGCGCAAGCACATGTAGGTAAGGAATTGCCAGTAGATCCACTGTGATACAGTCAGTAGGTTTTGTTAGCTTGAGAGACGTAATTTCTTCTTATCCCAATGTAACTTTTTTCCGAAATCTCTAATTGTGTCTTGTCTCGATTTGAAATGTGATTGATTGATAATTACCTCATTTGTCAAGGATTCGATAATTCATGGATTGTTTTTTCCATCGGGAAACATTCAAAACCGAAGCCCCTCTGAGACTGTTCTCAAGCAGTGATATACTCGTATTTTGCCTCGTGCAGCATGCTGGCGGGTATCGGAAACCATTTTGAGAAACTAACGATTCCAGAACACATTGCATGCCATGGCAACCAAACAAGCCTGGAAGTGTGAACTCCGTTCAAAGATTATCTACTATGCTTCATCGGACGCGGGCACTCGTTGAATTTCAAGCATCACCCCATTAGCTCGTGAATCAGATGGCACGTAGTCAAACAGTCTCTCGATTTAGGCGACCCAAAGATCATACAAGTGTACAAAATACGAAGTTTTCCTACGGTTCTTTGATACGTGTAATTAGTTTACTAGAGCAATGGTTGTATACGTGGCAAATAAGTTGTAGCTATGTCACCGTGCAGGCGTTTGCTTGATCTTTCACATTGCAGACGTTGATATTTCTTTATGAAGAGTAGAATAAGAATGAATAAAATCAACCAAATGCCGAGAAATGTCGACCAGTAATGGTATTCGAGCAATTGTCTGATCAATAAGCGTAAGACGGTACGTGCAAAGATTAGTGTCATACATATATATCCTGCTGGACCGCTTCAATANAGATCGGATCAAGAATCTGCATGCACAACTTATCGGTCAACAATCGGTAAACGAGAGCTCGATATTGCAAACATGCTACGACGAGATCCAAGCTGCAGCAGAGGAACACAGCGTTGATTATCTTGCTTTGTGCATTTTGCTCGGCGGTGAAACCACAACGGTTGTTCAATCTACCCTGACAGATAACACTGAAAAATCCATTGGTGGTCGCTGCAGTCACATGGCCCTGGCAGCTACCCTAAGATGGTACGAAATGATGCGTGAAAGTGATTCTCAACCAGCAGACTACAGACACGAAGTCACCTTACTGGCCGGGGCTACAGACGGCTTGGATGGGCCAGCCGTAGGAGGAGCCGGCGTTTGGGTGAATTCTCAAGGCGAACCAGTGCTCACCAATGAACGTCTTTTCAAAGATGCTTTGAGTTCCTTAGAAAGGAGCGACTCATATGGATTCTTCCTAAAGCATGCCCCATCCTGTGTTATTCCCCCCAGGCTCACCGGTACCAACGTCATGGATATATTCATAAGCACTGCCGGCATTTACTTGTGAAAACCCACGAGTGTGAAAGGATGGAGACGTATCTGCAGAGACTGGTTTACACAATTTTGCCAATCAAGATTGCTGTACACATAGAGGTCGATTACCGACCGCCTTTCAATAACATCAGTTACTTTCTTCATCTGTGCTACAAAGTTCGCCTTCCTCTATGTCTTCCATTGTGGTGGTATTTTTATCTTCCTTGATTTCTTCCTGACAGACTTCTGACTGGTTTTCGTTAGATTGCTGCTGATCGGAACTGGAATCTGTTAAGGCCTGTATTGTTTTTCGTAGTTTCTTTTGAAGTTGTCGGCGCCTCCTGAAATGAAGCAAGATTTCAGGGGATTATCAAAATGAAATCACTCATCAATCAAATCATGTGATTTGTAGACAAAAATCGGTTGTTATTAGATTGTCTTATCCCAATACAAAATTTGATGGATCTGTACACTTATATTCCAGAGCTAAGAAACCTATTGTATTTGAGTGGCAAGTGATCAAATACCAACAGGGAAGAAAATTTAGGGTTACACATATGTAAATGGAACATGTGTGCTCCAATAAGCACTGTTTGTTCACCAATCCAGCCACTTCTTTAGCTCTCCGGGTTCTGGAATAAATTTTAATAAGGCAAATATCTCAATATTCAGTTTTCTTAGGTTAGCTTTTAGCAACTTTAAATTATCAAACCTATGAAATTAGATACGAAAAGGTAAGCATCAACGCATTTCAGGTTATTACTTTTTACTGGTAACCTGATTATTGTAAGAATTTGTCCGAAAAATGTTCTTCATATAGAAAAATCCTCCTTCAGATTATAAATTTATACGGCGAACGAATTTTGAACTCCGGGTCTCTCGCGTCAATTGTGTGTAGTACCGCTGTATCAACCAAAACGCACGAGTTGAACGGAGATATCATGTTCGGTCTGTTGAGGTGTCGTCTTCACGGTTAGTCGTTGAGTTGTTCACACTACGCTTCAATGGGGACAAAGTATGTCACGCGTTAATCACCATTCAAAGGCTGCCGCCAGATCGAGTCTATGTCGTTTTCAAAGCCAGCGGACTCAAAAAGGGGGCGTAAAATCATCACTTTTCCTAGCATGTGGAGCCTACCTTGAAAAGCGTAGTATGCAGAGGAGGCCTACTCGGTTACACGAGCATCACATTGTTAGGACGCAACTCACAGAACCCGTAGAGTCGAGCACGGATCCGCGCCACACTACAAGCACGCCCGAGGTGAGTTGATTCCGTATCGGATTAGTAGGACGATTCAGATAGCTGTCGTTCGATCGATTAATCGGAATGTCAAGGGCGCGATCTGATTGGTGCGGCGCCACTTCGTTCTCGTACACCGAATTTACCCTGTATGTTTGCGCATCAAGTTATGATCAACACACACTCCGACTGTTGTTCTCCAGTGTTTTTTTCTCCCCCGTATTATTGTTGGAGGAGCTCGTGTCGGTCGTAGGTCTAGGCAGAACATAACACATTTCCCTACCACGTCGATCCGAGTACTCAAGTGGGCGCGTATAATGAAACTTACATAAGTTGTCTGTTTGTCGCACCCGACTCGGGAAGTGTTACGCAGTCAGTGATGTTCAAAAGCCAGTAGTTTGCGTTTATTTCCTAGGTGAATAGGCACCGCTCAGCAGACTTAGCTGACGTGCTACAGTGTGTGCCCTAATACTTGCAGATAGATGAACGGCCAGCAGTGCCGTATATGTCTGAACACGAACAAACCAAAAACAACCCCTTGTATGCTTCTCCTTATCCGGTAGAACCATTCACCTATTTTCTCTATCACCTGCGGAGTTTCAAAGGTGAGATCGATCCTACTCTAGCAGCCTTTCGTGATTTAGAGGTGCAGAAGCGCAGGAAAACACAATCAACTTTCCTGTTTGCACGTGTCTAATTTGAGGACAGTCACGACAAAACTGAGGAAGAGGATTCGATCCGGGCGAGCATCGTTTTCAAGATGGACTTGAATGAAAAGAGCCATAAGCAGAAATTCGGTTTTGGGCTATTTGTGGACGCGAAGTGATAGACAATTGATTCCCGTTGATTAGAAACCTTTGTTGTACTTTTTTCATACTGAACCAAGGATCTTAGTCAAATCCAAGATCACAGTTTGACCACTATCCTTGAAAATAAATGTAAACAGCCCAAAATATTAAAAGGAGTCATGTCCTTTTGGATAATCTTCTTTTGATAAATTTTTGTTTGAGATGAAGAACCAGTGTTTCCTTATGATAATACGCTTACATCAGGCTGCTGATACATGTGATGTTAACGGAGGTTGGTCGAAATGCGCCCCCAAATGGCTTTGCCCATAATTCATTCCGGCCGGCGTTACTTAAGATGAATCAGTCTACCATGGGACTTCTTCACTGTCTAGTTTCAACGGATCTGTACTCCTGTCCAACTGGGATAGGTTGCGACCGTTAAAAATAGTCGTTGTCATCATCTTGCACTTGGCAATTCACCAATTCTCGCGACTATTTTAGGCTCTGTTAGCTAGCGTTCAAGGTATCAGCAGCAGACAGAATAAATCTACCACTTACGCTTTGACTTAATGCTGGTCTATTGTTGCAATAAGAAATGCTTGAAGGGCGTCATTGATTGGTATTTAGTTTTGCCTCCGAAACTCTTAGTAAGGTCGGGTTGCGGCGGGTCACCTTTTTCTTGTGCCTCGCGAAATGCTCTTATGTGACCAAGCGTTTGAAAAAGCCGTGATGGAGGAACCTTTACTCACCGTCTTCACGTGGCTGTAGGTTCTTAACGAAACAAAAGAGCCAAGAGCCCATATACGGAGCCATACCCGGGTTGGCGAACGACTGGCAGTTCATCTAGAGGAGTTTGTCAAAAACCTTGGTTCCAAACCAACCAGGAAGGTGTACAAAACACCTACGTCTTCTTGGTTTAGATGTTGATCCTCGACTTAATTAGGTACTTTGGATGTTGGACCCCATAAAAGGGATACATATATTGTCTAAACAGTCCCACAGAGCACATTTCAAATAGAACAAGGCGTGGCGAACAGGCTAGTTTTTAGTGATTCGTAGTCAAGTCAAATGCATCACAATAAATATCACGCTGTTTATATTTATAGCAATATTGAAACATGAAAAACCCAATCAATTGTATTGGGAAAGGGAAAATAACATCATAAGTTAACTGGGACTAATTTTGCCCTAGGACCGGAAGCGGAAGGAATTCGGCTGCACAACTCCCCTGTGTGCCCAAAAACAATTTGTGCAAGCGCTTAAACTCCCTTGGCTCACACTCCATATTCCGAGTGGTTCCAACGATCGGATACATGTATGTCGATTGCTGGCTAAACTAGATTAATGTTCCAAGTTTGCTCGTGGTTTATTCTCATTTGGGAATGGGACGATAGTCATAAAGCGGAGATAACATAGAGGCTTGGGTGTTGGCACACAACAATATGCAACGTTAATCATTATGAATATGAACGCTCTAAAGTGTAAGAATTCAGTTCGGTTCAGTTTCATACAACCAAGTATAGGAATTAATAAGGGCTAATGATAAAAACGATGCTTGGTGTGAACATTTTGGCTCACCGTTTGATCATATCTTTTTCTCGACGGGATTGAGCGAAGGCAGCTTTCTTCTGCACGTCAGTTATTGCATCAGAGTTTCTGAGGAGATGCAGAAACACTCCACCTTTCGTTCTACGACGGGAACCATTCTGAAGAAGAGAATTTCGGAGCGGATGTGAAACTAAGTATTGCACGATTTTCTATTTGCCACAGCAATAAAGATGCTTTGAATTTTTCCAGGTACTGGTCACATCAGTTTGACTTGTATCAGAGACATTTCACGGTTCACCAATGACAAGTAAACAACAATGGGTTCTGATGTCTATTACTGAAATGGGTAGTATTTTATGTGACACTATGCCGTCTCAACTCCATGCAAAAGGAGAACAAAGATTGCGTGGGAACATGTTTGTGTGTCTAAATAACAGGCGGTCTGGTACTGAGGAAGTGCGCGAACCTGGCACTCAAACATTCTTGGCTGGAAGGGAGCCACACCACTCATTAGTGAAATATATTGTGTCCGAACAAAAGAACTAGAGAGGAAGTTGTCCCTCTCCCTTTGTTCGACACTACCACATCCTCTCTCTCCCTGTCAGAAAGGTTAAATTCCAAAAACGTCCGGTCGGAAAATTCTTATTTTTGGCGGAAACAGCCGCAAGTGTTATGGTTCCAAAAGACAGTGCCAGGTTGAAGGGAGATATTCACTAGAACAGCATAGGATCGCGGTAAATAACATAACGCAGAACGGAACATCTAATTTGCAACAATCGATTAGTATTTTTGTGAACGTCTCCTCGTCGGTGATTATTAGCCTGTTCATCTCTTCTGTAGCTATAACAGAACATACCTTCGATCCACTCGGAGATGCCGTGAAAATCCAACAATCGATTCTTTGTGCGCGCACTAAAAACACCGCCCACAAGTCTGTGTAGTACCTCACAACACAAGCAGATGACTTTCAGCAACTGTAAACTTTGAAACTCTAAGAATAGAACCACAATGAACCATATGATTGAATTCCGATCCACAATCTCTCACGTGACGTTAAGTAAGGAAAAAAATCAACTTCAAATAATCGTGGTTGTACGTATTGTTTGTGACAATCCTGTTCAAATGACGAATGGTCAAAGATAGATGGCTGGGAAAATTGAGATATGAAGATAATATTGAACTATTTAATGACCCAAGAAGCAGCAAATCAGTATCCGGTGCAAACACTGAACCCCCTAAATGTAAAACAGCACTCTAGGATTGAGCTCCCTAAAGACTCTCCTTGGAATTGGCGGAAATATTAATATGATGAGATATTTCATTAGCTGCGGTTTTTTTTTGATTGGTAAAACCCGAACTGTACGTTCCGCGTGGGGTGTGTTAGGTTATTGGATAGCTGTTCAGGAAGTGGGACGAAGCGCGTCAACACCCACCTAGCTTACGAGTGGCCCCCGTGAAA